AGCATTTTCTTTATGAATGGCTCTTAAATGTTTTGTTTGATATTCATTTGATTCTTTGTCTTTATATTTGTGAAGGTAACTAAGTGATTTCTTTTCTGGCGTGTTTCAGATTACAAAATACCTTGAGCAAAGATGTTATAGGGAACTGCGAAATGAACACTTTGGTTCGGTAAAAGTTGTTCTATGCATTTACAGAAAATTGCTAGCTTCATCAAAGGAGCAAATGTAAGTTCCTTTGAAATGTTATTATTCCTTTCCCTGTTTGTAGAGAATTATGTTTCTTGGGTCTTAAGTTATATACTCGTCTGGATGATTGCGCACGTGTCTCAATGTGTGTTTAAAAGCTGGTTTAGTATTTTAAGTCATGGATCCTTGGCCCTTGTTAGGCTGTTAATTTGCTGAAAACCATTTCAACAATGGTAAGTTCTGGACATTAGGGTGACAGTGCCAAAATCTCTCTATATAAAATGTGGATGCATATCATAATCAAAATTTATGCCTAATTCTTATCTTTTTTTTTGTTGTTTTTTTTTCTTTTCATTTATATATGATAATGTCCTAAGTCCTTGCTTTATACCGACAATGTTGTTGGATCTTTGCTGTTCAAAAAAAAAAAAAATGCAAGTCGTTGGACTTTCTACATGTGCATTCATGTTTTCATGGTTTCAATGTTTTCCCTAGTTAAATGTCACTATGTTGTAGTTATGCAATGTTCTTGTATTCGATTTTCGGAGGATATGATTAATATAAGCTCTCCTTATTGGAGTAGACAGAAACTACTCAATGCATAGGGCTGCCAATGGGCCGCCTGGCCCACGGGCTTTCAGGCTTGGCGAGACCACAAATAAGGTCCGCATGTCGGTCCTTGTAGAATTATTTTCAGGCCATACCGGGGTCAATCCTGCCCGGCCCGATCCTGATCCAAAAAAGATATATATTTATATAAATTTATACACACACACACACACACATATGTATATATATATATATATATATATATATATATATACTACACAGTATAGTA